AACCAGTCAGTCTGTTGTGCAGATCACAGCACAATCAGATGAACAGGACAAGCACTAGTATAACTAGAAGCATCAGCATCCGCATCGACGGCATCAATAGTAGAAGCGGCATGGTCAAGTGCATGCAACACAGAGTTGAATAGGCTGTTGTTCAAGTCGTCACAAGCACAACAGCATCTCGGTAACCGCAGTCCTATTGGTCGGCTACATCCAACTGCACTGACATGCAACGTCGACGAATGGACGAAAACAATGTCCACCACTGAATGATCGTGAATGTGATGGTGAAGTGTGTGTGTATGTTTTTGAGTAGTCAGGTGGAGAAGAAGGACTCACAGTCAGTCCGATCGGTTGTAGGGGACAATCGAGTAGTAGTGGTGGTGCTGACAATGTTGTTGTGATTAATTTCGTTGTCGTTGTCGTTGTTGTTGATGATGATGGTGATGGTGTTGGGGGTTTATGTTTGTGGTGTTGTTTGTGTGAGTGTGCGAATGTGCTTCATTTCGACCGGTTCAGTGAATCTGACTGGCAGTGTGTGTTGATATTATGATGAGTAACATGTGATAGTGTTGTGCAGTGTTGATGTCGTCGATACTGCTGATCGGTGAACGGGTAGACAGCAATAATTGTTAAGCAACGAGTTCTGTTTTCGGCGAATTCATTTACAAAACTGTACAATCGCAAGTGTATACGTATTGTTCACAGTGACAATAATGGCAGAAATAGTGATGATGAAAGTCTGTTAAACATGCTAACGGTGAGTTAAAATAAATTATTATCATGCACGATTGTACAGCTTTGAAAATGAATTGGCCGAAAACAGAACACTTCGCTGAATCAATCTTTCTTATTTTGTGTCCCACTGGGTGTATTGTGTTTGTTTACTTGGCAATACAATGTGTGGTGTTTCGTTTCGACTGATGACCAGTGTGAATGATGTGAATGTTGATAAATGGTTAGTTGTTGGTTGTGGGAATGATGTTGTGATGAATAAGCGTTGATTGGACGAGAATGAGGATGATTGTTTCGGTGTGGATGATGATGAGAGCAAGATGGGAGAGAATGGAGGAGTGACTAGTGAAAAGTGCTGCTATAGTGAGTGTGGCTGTGTGGTTGTTGTGGTGATAGCGTGAGTGATTGTGTGGTGGAGTGTGTGTGTGTGTTGTTGCGAAGCGACAGAAAGGGCGCGTCGGTGGTTCAATGGTAGAATGCTCGCCTGCCACGCGGGCGGTCCGGGTTCGATTCCCGGCCGACGCAAGCCGCTTTTGATCGGTCACAGTCGATGCTCTGCACTTTCACCACAAAACACTCCCTCGTACCATCTGCAAATACACAAACACCACCACAACCTCAAACGTGTCGCGGGATGTGCGCACACCGATTGCTCCGCGTCCTGCAACTCTGAAGACAAACTTTAACGCTTTCTAATTTTTTTTCGTTTTGATGGATGGTATGTTTAAGAAAATAATGTTATAAATTTTTATTAAATTTCTTTGTTGTTTTGATGACGGGGTTCTGTTATTACGTTCATATTTGTCACGTTTGTTATTACTGGAAATGAAATTCGGCGGAGATGTAATTGCCCGCTGAACCCGTCTTACTTATTTTGTTTCTTACTGGGTGTTTTCTGTTGTTTTGCTTGTCGTGAATACTATGTTTTATGTTTATTTGTTTTCCTGTACGTCTTTTTTGCAATTATTTATTTATTTTTAGGTATCTTACGGTTGTGTTACTAGGCTGTTTTCTTATGATTGTGGTTTTAGTGATTTTTTGATAGTGCATAATTCGTTTTATTTTAAACATTTTTCTTCGTTTGAACTTTCATCCTTTTGTTTAATAACTTAGTTAGCTGTTTCACTCTTGAGTCCTTCACCTTGTACCGTCTTTGTGATTTGTTATGTTTAAGGAACTTCAGATATTTTCTACCCTGGTTCAATTCTTAATGTTATATCGCATTAAATTCATTCGACTTCTTTATTCACTTTCAGTGATATGCTTTTTATGTGAGATGTTTAGCGTTAACCTGTTTTCAGGTAAACGATATAGTATATGTTGAATGACTATGAAAGCATATCCAGTAGTGATCCAAGTTATTTTAATGTTGTGTAAGACAAGAAAATCGCTTGAAAGTTTTGTTTTGTTTTTATTAACTGGCGAGTGATTTACAAAACCTACATTCCACATTCATTCTTGGCTTAAATGATTTGAATCTCTTTTTTCCTTTTTCTGTATATCATATTCAGCATTGTCTGTGTCGTTTTTTCAACGTCAACACTAATCCTTTTAAACAAGTAGATTGGATAAATTCATTACTTTTAATAACTTAACATACATATAAATTCATTATATTCTTTCGTTATACTAAATAGCAAGTAATAGGAGCTAGCAATTTAAAATAGTTCAACTTTAATCGATAATTTTCATCTAACAATCACCCAACAGCCACTTTTTTTCTGACGAAAAAGTTCACTAAATCAATGGAACTATGAATTGCACTCATAAATTATTGATGTGTTAATGATGTTATATCAATAAACTTTTGTTGTGATAAAGAGTAGATGTTTAAAAGTGGAAGTGATCATGCACCTATTTTTTTTTTTAGTGAACCTATTCTAAACAATCATTTACAGAACAAATTTATCAAAGTTCATGAAACAATTTTTTGAAGGAAGTCAAAAATTAATTCAACATAGTACACTCAATATTGTATTAAGCAGAAAAAGCTTTTTAAAGCTTCTGCTTTTTGCTAATACTATTGCTTTATTTATAGTTATTTGTGCTTTCAGATTGTTCATTTCTGTTAAAAAAATTTTATACGGTATCTGTTGATAACTATGATATTTTATGACAAGTTATCTCTTAAACATTAGTTAGACTACATGTTTCATATAAAAAAAATATTAAAACATAAAAGCAAGTATCCAATCTGATTGAAATAGTCTAAGAAACAAACGCACAATGATCATTGTCTAGAGAAACGCGAAAAGTTACAAAAATCGTTTGAGAGCACAATTCATCTATCGTTTATTTGCAAAAGATCTAGCTAGGTCTAAGGATTCTAGCCGATTAATCCCAGCTACATAATATTCAAAACAGAGTACGTCGCAACAATGTTACTCAAGTTAGTGGCTGTACTAAGTAAGGACTAGGAAAAAAAGGTACTAATTTGTATTCAGTAGTAAATTACCGTTAATAATAGTAGTATATTTAAAGGATAAAATTATTGAAAGCATTTTTATAATAGCTCAACCATGATTGGTGCTTATTAATGATATAAAAATTAAGTAATTAAGTAGTGTAACAAGTTTAATGTATGATTTTTTATCTTAGAAAAAAAGTCTGAACAATTATTGTCAAGGGATGAATGAAATATCACTTCTTAATAGTACACAAATGATCATTGTTAAACTATTTTAAAACAATCTTAAATCTATGTATGAACACAATGATGAGAATTAGAAGCTTTGAAAAAAAACGTGCATTTCTGAAAGTAACACTAAAATAATAAACATAAAAGAAAGCAGATGTTTTTCATTTGAAACTCTCTAATGTAGCCCTAGTTATTTTCATATTACGCTTTCTAACCTGTCAACTTTTCAAATAATAATGCGTATTCTGAAAATACCGAATAAATACCAATCTACCAGATAGGATTAGGTTGATTTATAAAGCGATATTACATGGAAATGCCAATCTATATCAGGAAGAATAATTTGAAATGATACGATTCAAACATTGTCATATAAACCAAACCGTGTACTACACACCTTACTTTTCTTATTTATGAACATGAGAACTATACAACAAGACAATGCAAACTTACAAAGAACAAACAACATGACAAGTTGTTATTTTATTACCAAACATTTTCAAGAATTAAACTAAATTGAATATTTAATTATAATTTATTACGGTTAAATAACAATAACAATAATAATAATAACATTAGTAATAATAATAATAATAATAATAATAATTGTATAAACTCTGTAATGCAGAATTCTCAATAATAAAACAAGAGACAAAGAAAAAAAACACAATCATCATGATCATGGTAACAACAAATAGGGATAACAAAGATTTGAAATAAAGTGAGGTAGGAGTTTGAGTTTTTGCAAAATAAAACATACATAAATGCACAACTAGATAGATGCATAGTTACACACTGCGTTAAACACACACATTTCAAATGCCAACACACGATTGCGTGTTTTTGAAAAAAAAAAGATACTACACATCAAAGCTTTCATTTCCCTATATAGGACATGTTCAGTTATTTCATTACTACTACTGGACTGTCACACACACACACACTCTCTCGCTCTCTTTTGTTTGATTAAATTACATTAAATTACAAGTAGAAGCTTTACAATCACAAATATACATATATATATCTTGTAACAGTGGATTTTAAGCTGAATACAGTATGAATATACATATATATATATACTCATGATCAGAAATATTTTCACTTTGGTATTTAAATTTAGAACAGAATAAAATATTAAAAAAAAAGAGTAAAATGAATGATGAATGATATTGCACACAATATTAACATAGCCCGTTTTTTGTGCATGAAATACAACAAAATAAAGCTAGTGTGTGTGTGTGTGTGTGTGTGTGTGGCGGAGACCGAGTAGTATAAACTACTGGATACAAGAAGTATATTGTTAGCTTCAAGAAGTTGTCAATGAAAGATCAGCTGCAGATATATATATATATATATATATATATATATATATATATATATGTCTACCGAAAGTTACTAGAGTTGAAATGAAATAACAGAGAGACGACAGATTATGATGCAGAAGTACATCAGAAAGATTCAAGAAAGTATAAAAAAAAGTTAAACCTTTAATTAGTGTTTATTTAAACAAAACAAAAAAAAAATAAGTAGAATATTTTTTTTTGTTGAAAATTATCAAAAAAAAGCTGTATGAAACCATTACACATATTTATGAATACAAACAATTTAGATAAAAATTGAAAAATAATAATAATTTTTAAAAATTGCTAAAAATACCATTTGCATAGAATCCATAGATTGTGCGATAAAAGAAGAAATGAAGTTATTTGACTTCATGAATAAAATATACACTCCTTTGTTTTTTGGTATCATTGGAGATTATGTAACAATATGTGCGTGCATATAGATTGGTTAAATTAAAAATATGAAAATATGAATAAAAACAAAACAAAACAAGATACACCACCACTTCAAAGAATTTCAAAGTTTCATTTTAATTTTACATATATATATGTGTGTGTGTGTGTCTATATACAGTCACAGAAACAAATGACAATCAATAGTAGGGAAACACATTTTTTATAGTACACACAAAATAAAAAGGAATGCAAACAGAGTAAATAAAGAAAACAATGTGAAGAAGACATATCAACTGGTAGGAAAATCAAATTGTACGCATTCGAAGGAAGCTAGAACATTAATCATCAGAACACTAAATCATCGTCATAAGTTTGAAAGCAAAGCCTGAGGAGTGTTATGTGTTTTTTTTTAAAGTTGAATTAAGCAAAACAGACGACATCGAATAAAATTCTTAAAACAAAAAAAAAAACAATTCCCCTAACACGATAACCCATAAAAAAAAAACTTGTACCGAAATTGAAATAAATACAATGTTTGATACTTTCTCAGTTTTTTTTTCCACGAAAAAATTTTTAAATCCCTAAAAACAATATTCAATATTGACAGTATTTTTTTCTTTTCAAAATAATTGAATGGCACTTTTACACACACACAAAAGGACACCAATCTATTATTTCAATTGAAGCTGAACAGACACACACAATGAAATGACTTTGTTGCGTGCGACACACACAACAACAACAACAACACGAAGATAAAAGAGAAAACAACTGAAAATTGTTTTTCCCTTCTATTCAGTATACAAATAAAATAAATAAAATCAAAGAGAATAATGCATTGATTGGATTTACAATGACAGAATAAACAGAATTATTCTTATTATTCACATCATCATCATCATCAATAGAATTGTGATGATTTTCAATTCGATGATGATTATGTTGTTGCAACGATTCGTCTGGATGCATTAAATACTGTTGTTCATTATTATTTGAAGATAAACTGAATTCTTGTTCAGAATAATCATTTCGATCATGTGTATTCAATGCTTGAATATGATTGAAATCATTTGACTGTACAACTAATGATGACAGATCAAAATCCATTGAAGGATTTGATTCGTCTAAACCAGCACCGTGATTAGTTGATGCAGATGATGAATGACTAGTAGAAGACAATGGAATAGAAGGTTGTGGATAGTAATGTGAATAAAATTCATGTGATGATGATGATGATGATGATGAAGAAGGAGAGGCTAAGGAATTTGAACCGACAGAAGAAGAGGAGGATGAAGATTGTGATGTTGGCGATGATGGCAATGACAAAACAGAAATTGTTGGAACAGGCAGTGGTGGTGGTGGTGGTGGTGGAGGAGGAGGAGGAGGCGGAGGAGGTGGTGGAAGTGGAGCTTGAACAGGTGACAAACTTTGATATTCACTATTCCAAGTAGGCCAATATCGATAGGAGTTTTGATTGTTCAAATAGTAAAATGGTGGATAAGGATAAGAGTTTTGATTTTCCGGCAAACCAAAAGAACCACCATGATCACTATTTTCTTCATTAGAAGGATTTAAAACAGAATCTAAGGAATGATGTTTTGATGTTTCAATGGATTTTTGTTGAGGTTGTTGTGAATTTTTTGAAGAATGAAATTTATCTTTCTGTGGATCAATCCATGTTTTTTGAGATTTTACAGAAGGATTAGATTCTTGATTTCTGGGAAGTTGTCTGACACCTCGTCTATGCGAAGAACTAGGTACAGATGGTGGAGGAGTATTTGTTCCATACAGAATTAAGCTCCAGTCATGAATTGATACTGAACAAAAAGAATTGAAAAAATATAACAGATAACTTTTAAAATAATTAGTTAATAATTAAGTTATATGAAACTGTATTAGTTGGCATACTTTTGGAATAACTGCCAGAATGATGACTGATTTTCAGCCGAGCGTAGCAGTTGAATTAGTGTTAGTGATAATAACATAATCGGCTCAGTATTATCCTATGGTTAAACTATTAAAATACAATAAGTAACCAGATTGGATTTTCTTTCAGTCAAAAAAATTCTATATCGAGGTATTTAATATATATATATCATATCTTACTACTTAATACAACTACATTAATTTGTAATGAGAATATATGTGATACCTTTGAAAAGAGAGAGAATCCTGAGGAATTAGTTCCAAAGATGGATTTCATCTTGCAAACTGATGAAAATCACCACATTAATGCAAATAATAGATTTACGTTTAAATGAAAATTGTACTATCAAGTGATACTTATACAATAAACTACACTTTTATGTGACATTTTTAGATTGTCCTGTTCTGTTTCAGTAATCGAAAAGATTCTATTCTAACTAGCGTCTTTAAAATTGCCTATGTCAATGTGAAGTGTTTCCGTATAAAAACAAAATGGCTCATCCCATTTAATCTTTGTGCTGTTTGGGTTTGATTCTGAAATAGGAGAAAACCATTGTTTCACAAGGTTTTTGTTTCATAGTGTTCATGTTCACACTAAGATATGCTACACGTGCGATGACATGGCTGAGAAAAGTCCTTAAATAGTATAATTCTGCATGAGAGTTAGGTGTCCGTTGGCAACCGATTCAGTAAGTTCAACTCAAACGCTGTATATGTTCTATAATAAGGTCGGTTGTTTGGTGCATAACTCAGTAGTAGTGTCTACAACAGAGATAGTGAACTTTGCAGTCGTCTAAAATTTCGTATGAATTTTAGCATACCTTACAGAAAAATTTTTCATAAGCCTTAACTAAACTAGTTAACACAGTTAAACACACCCTAACATGTAAGAACTACGTTCTTTAAAAGAAAATTATATAAAGCTTACCAACAGCATTTCCTGATTTAACTGTCAATTTCCATGTACCGTTGGCTAGTTCACCCCAATAATGTACAGACATAAATGGCCATGCATGAAATCCAGCAACATCAATATCTTTTGGTCGTTTACTTAAAAGTTGAGAAATAGTTCCAGCTGGAGATGTTAACCATAATTCAATTTCACCTCGTTGTGCACTGCTTAGAGTTACCTGTGGATTGTAGAATTACAGAAGGTTCAATATCACATACATTGCAATCTAACTTTCTAGATATTTTTATGATCAACTAATTTATTCAGTTGTTAAAATAAACAAAAAGTTCAAAGTGCAAAAAACATCGTTATCGAATAACGTCTATGAAGGTTTTAAAAATAAAAGCGATAATCATAGTTAAACTGAATAAATAATCATTTCAATCTTTGATTTTAGGACTGTAGGATACACGCTCGCATAATACCGTATTATAGCCAGGTATGTCGATATTAAGCCATTTAGGATGCAATCCTAGATTTGTTTCTTTGTTTGTGTAACTGCTTACAATCGCGTCAACTTATAAACCACGATCACTTCCTTCTATCTATTTGTCCAAGAGTATGTAAGTTGATAAAGTTGGGATGTGACATAATCATTGACAATCAGTTTCAGATTTTGGTAGAGTTCAAACAATGTGACTATTTTAGAAGCTGTTATTTGATTGGTATGCGTAATTATGAGACTTTTCTTCACTCCATATCTAGATAAGATTAATCGGATTCAATTATGATGTTTCGTTTAAGCTCTGACTAGGCGAAGACGCTTAACACTAATTTTGTTTAATGCTATATACTACTTATGAGTAGAATGTATATTTAAGTGAATTATTAACGGTACCACGGCTTTTGTACGTAATCTAAATTAAAGTAAAAAAGAACTACCCACAATTTATAACTTTGAAAGTGAATTTAACATAAAACAAAAGATCGTTTTAAGACAATATTTTCTGTCAATAAAATCGAACATTTATGCTAGCTAGAGATTACAGAAATGGACGAAATCAAGAAATGAAAATAGGATAAATAAATTATGAATTTAATGAATTTTGAGTCCTTTATTATTATCGATCAGTATAACAGAAGAAATTCTGGATGAACAAATCCATATATATATCTTATATATCTTAGTCAGTGTTTAAATGACAGAGAATTCAAGATGGATATTATTTTTACCAACTAAACTAAGCTATATGGCAAGTCATAATTATTACAATATAATGAATTAAGTCACTTCATTATGACAGTGACTACAATGATAACAAAAAACAAATGAGAATAATGTGAAACGTTCTCATTGGTAAGAAGAAATGTCATACAATTAATCAATGTTTATAAGAACTGGCGACGATAAAGAAAATGAGATTTGTCAAAATGAAACACACAATGCCAAGATCAAAAAGTACACTGGTGACCATGAAAATGATGAATGAGACAGTAGATAAAAATTGAATATGTTTATGCTAGCTAATAAAAGGCTCCATTTACTTTGAAAGGTAAATAGTTTTTTTTTGGAGTCATCATAAGTAAAGAAAGAAGGAATTAATTCTCATGAATGACGAAAATATATAGAATTAATGAACCAGTTCAATGTTTTGCTAAATTTAACCAAAGGATATAGAATGGTTAATTTTGTGAAGAAATTATATAAACAATACAACAATTTTCATTTCAATCCGATGTTCTATTTTCGAAATTGTCTTAGAAAATCAAAGTATAATCTCTAATATTCAACAATGAGAATGAAATTTACATGAACACAGTTGAAAAGTGATGAATTGTTAAAAACAAAAACAGGTACAAAAATGATAACGAAGCCAATTAACGTCTGATGATGATTGTCAATTCCAATTAAACAGTTTATACAAAAAAAACTATGAATTTGAACATAACTTTCATGATAGATAAAAATGAGCTGTGATTCTAAGCAGACACTCATCAGAAATAGGAAATAATAAAGACTATACGATTTCTATAATTGGTTGATATATAAAGTTCTTTCGGAAAAAGATTCAAAAATCTACTGAGTGAAAAGAAGGTGTACAAAATAAATTTCAAATGTTCTGTAATTCTCATTAATTCGCTAATTGATTTTAATTCACGACGGAAAACTATTTTGAAATTATGCTAAACAAATCAAAAAATTTGTTTTTCATAAACGACAAACAGAATGTATGAATAAAACCTATCCCCAATAATACTGGTCAAGGCAACTTTATAAAAGTAAGTTAAGTTGCAAGATTTATTCATATAAGGGTCACAAGGGAACTATACCTAATCTTTAGCGCATTCTCAACCAAGCAACGCTAAGTTTTTTGCAGCTAATCTTAATATAAAGATATCTGACCATACTTTCATTCACAAAAGTATACTTAAAATCTTTAGTAGCATTTTTTATGAATTACACATGAATTAAAATGGAATTAACTATTATTAATTGTAAACAATGACGACTCCAATTACCTTAGAAAGGAAAAAAAAAATCGGTAACGATTTAATGTATACACTCAAAACTAATCAGTCATAACAGTTAATATCTCTCCTTATTATTTCTAAATAAGTCAGTTACATGTCTATGTATTCTCCAACCTCATATATATCCACAAAACGTAGTTATTGAATGGCGGCTGTACATGTACACCAAATCGACAATTGTTTTGAAATTTACTTAATTCTTTCGTGATGTTAAAAGTGCAAATATATAATAAAAAAAACTGAATAGCTGCACCTGTAAAAACAATTTACAATTCATATTATAATAATTATTACTTTGTTTTTAGAAATTTATACTGAATAAATATATACATATATATATTTAGTGGAACATGTGGTATTTATGAGAACTCTTGTGTTAAAGTATCATAATTATCTATCATCCTTTTCTTGTGAATTTTCTAGTGATCATTCAATTGAAACCATCATCATCATACAAACACACAGATGTGTGTAGTACAATGTTCAATCTGTTCTACAAAATATTTCTAAAGTAGTAACAATTGAAATTTATAAAAATTCAGCAATAAAAAAAAAGGTGAACACTAATTAAAAGAAATAGATTATGCAAAAAACAAACAAACAAACAACAAAATATTGACATTTTTTGACACAAAAAAAATGTAAACATGGATATTCTTTAATGCAAGTATGTTTAATAACCATGATTGTTTCATTATGCAGTATACAACATCATGGAAAATCGTGTATTTATTTATCTGGTGTTTTTTTTGTTGTTGTTGAAAACAAATACGCCCACATTTGAAGTATATCAGCTTTGATTGTAGTTTACAACAAACCGACTAAGCAGAATAAAGTTGAATGTATTTTAGGGGGATCTAGTCACACAAAAAAACTATTGTAAAGCAGTTGAAATATAAAGAAAACAGGTAGAAGTAAAAACAAAGCTCGAAAAGGCTAAATAAAATAAGTAAACTCTTAGTTCTTAGAAAATTAAGGCAATAGGATCTAGTATATTACTTAAATGACTGACTGTATAATACAGTCATCATCAACCTCCATATCTTCGATGGACATATAAACTTTCGATATCTAAGAATATAATTTATTTTTAAAAAGAATTATAGTTTTTTAAGAAATAAAATAAATTTATGGCTTTAATGTAAACACAATGTAGCCTATTTTTCACTCGATATATTAAAACTAATTCACCTACTTTCAAAGGACTAGGTAATTTACATTGTTAATTAAATCCTATTTCAAACTGCTAGTCGACAACCATTGTCATTAAAATGGAATCCATAGAAAACCAGGAAATATTTTAATCTAGAGCGCACTAGTAGTATAGGTACATACGACCAAACATAATTCAGTAAGTTAGTTCGACGACATATTAGCTGAATTCGAGAGTTGTACACTATGTGTCCATACAGTAAAATAGTTATGAATTAAATGAGATAAGTAATATTTAGCTTAGTTTATTTAAAATCTAACTATAATTCATTGTCAATAAAATCTGTCAAAATCAATGAATTCAGATGCAGTTGTGATTTATTGTCCAATCTTTTATAAATTCACATAAAAATACAATCCACATTGCTTTCTTCTTCTTACTCATCAAGTCAAATTAATTTTGATAGTGTCATTAATGACACAGACAATTACAATATTGTACAGTTGTAATACTTATTATTAATAATGAATGATAACAGTCATAACATTTTGCTTTAACTACTGATATGTTGATTACAAAAAATTATAAAGAAATTAGTGAAATAAATCAAATTAACTTATTTGTATTTATACACAATTATATAAATTAACCTTCTATTGTCAAGGGCAATTATACATTGGTTTTCGGGAGAGCCGAGGACACTGCTCACGTGTTACCATTTCGACATGAACAGTTCGGCTCGATCCCGTGGTGCAATCACACAGGCACCTGATACCCTGGTGGATTATTCACGCCAGTTATATACACTAATACATATATAGTGATTATTTCCGATCCATGATCGCTTCAATCAATATGGCACCTTATAAACAGGCCATTTCTGCACATTTCGCTTACAGGACTGTCAAACTCATTATTATTAACAATGGTGATGTGCAATACAGCACCTCAATGACAACGGCCCTTGGGAATTTCGCAAAATAACCACCAGTATCAATGAAATCGGTTACCGTGCTAACCAATTTTGTATATGGACTGTTAGCAATGCTTGCCAAAGCAATGCCAAGTCATCCACAATGTTCACAGCGAGCCTCCGGTATCATAGTAAACCTTCAGCTCTATATAGCAGCATAGCATATGGTGTGCGATAGCAGAAGATGCAGCCCAGCTTGTTGCGAACAGGCCCTAACCATCCTATTACCCTTTATTTCATGTCCGGTAATGATTTTTTCGCATTTCCGAAATTTTTAATTTTTGGACCATATGAGACCTGAGTTAGGGGGTAGTATCCCTAAATCAAATAAACTAGTATGGATTAATGTGTCTCAGTAGCAAAAAATTTCCACTTGTGCACACTTGGATATGACTTGAATTTATTATATTCAAACAACAAATATTGCTTAACTGTTCAAACGGTAGAGGTTAAAATCTGAGCTTATAACTTAGCAGTTAATAATTCAATAGGAAAACACCATTATTATAAGAATAAACATCATCCAGTATTTATTAGAATATATGCTAAATTTTTAGAGCTGAATGGTAATAAACCATTT